CAAAATCCCCCCTCTCGTGCCGCTAGCTTCTAAACTTGCATACCTAACCCATCTACCACCCCATATTTGCCTGACTATTTCCTCGATATCCCCCTCGACTTTTGTTTCTTGCATGCAAATAATGTCTGCCCTCCAATTCTGCACTTGACTTTTTATTATCTCCCTTTTCTTCTTATCATTTAGACCCCTTACATTCCAGGAAATTACTTTGATCCTCATATAGAAATAATTGATAGATCTCTTCCCCTACTCCTTTTCCCGTCACTCTTGAATTTGACATCGAAAGAAGTCAAACCTTTTAATTCCAGTGATCCTTTGAATCTTTGTTTCTTCACCTCCAACTCTGTCTCCACCCTTCTAACCTGTCTGCAGCTGTCAATTTGCATTAACAATTCCAGTGCTTCTTCTTCATGTCCTTGGAAATCTACTCCAAACATTTTCCCCAATTTGATCATATTTTGATGGACCCATATTGTTGCATCCATGTCTTTATCCAATAGTGGGTTGTGTTGCTGAACTGCTAAAGGATTCACCTCCTCAATTTCCAACTCTTGAATATGGCTAAATCGCTTTNGGCTAAATTGCTTTAGATGTTCCAAAGTACTTCCCACGTGATCATTCCCCATCTTTGAGTTTATGCTTTGTTCCCCTTCCTTCTGTTCCAATCTTGCTAAATCTACTCCACCTTCTGGCTGACTGCAACTGGTAATTGTTTCCTTTTGCATACTTTCACAATTCACATTAAAAGTTTGAACCCCTGGATGTGACTCTTTTGCCCCCGATTGCGAATGGCCTCCCATTTCCTCGATATAAGGCTTCAGCCCAGAATCATCAGAGATCTCACACGAGAGGTCATTAAAAATGACTTGTGCAGCCATATCGGGGCCATAGGATCTCAGCTTGACTTTTGACACTTTACTGCTTTGATTCATCGAGGTTGAACCTTGTGTAAATTGTCCACTTGCTTTTCCTTTACCAGTGTTTAGCTCATACCGTGTGTTTCTTTCAGCCCAGATTGGGATGAAGAATTTGGTACCATCTTTTTCAATCCCCACCTCATTGGGAGTCTTTCTGCCATCACCAACAATTTTGATTCTCGCCCACTTAAGATGGTTTTTGAGATCAGTTTCTTCTTCTGTAGCTAACCAACCCCCACAGAGATCTCCTATTTCTTTGAAGATCTTTTGTGACCATAGATGTAAAGGAATCCCCATGGCTCTAATCCAGCATGTTTCCTCAATTTGTGAGTTTGGAATGCAACCAGCTGTATGATTCCACCAATCCAGATGAAGCTTGTATTTTTTCCATCTCCATTCTCCTTGCACAATCTGCTCTGCCATGAATCTGTTTGGAAACTCAAAAAGAAACATGTTTCCTGTCATTTCATATATGTTTACTCCGTATGCTTTGTTCCATGAAGCACTAGCCCATCGCCTTATATCTGCTAAAGTGGGTCTCTCATTGATTTCTTTCCCTAAAGACCCGATAATGCATCTTTTTAATAGGCATGTGTCCTCTCCTCCAATAGGTTCCAAAACAGTGATATCGCCATTGTTCGTGCTGACCCTTGCCTCTCGAAGAGTATTGG